TATTTACAAACATTTTGGGGGGGTTCCTGCCCTCTGCAGTGTCACCCCAGGCCGGGGACACTGGGGACACTGGGGACACTGGGGGCACTGGGGACAGCTTTCCCTGAGGGTGAGGGTGGGCCCTGCTGGCTGCAGGCACAGAGGGGGGGTCCCAGAGTGTCCCCATCACTGAGCCTGGCGCTGCTGCAGCTTCCCGTGCAGCTCCCTGAGCAGCTCCTGGCTCCTCCCTGTGCCATGGAAGGGGGGGCTGTGAGTGCCTGGCAGAGAACCCCTCTGCCCCCCCATTGCCCCCCAAGGCGGTGACAGGGCCCGGTGTCCCCATGCTGGCACCCCCGTGGTGCCCATCGTGTCCCCTCCACCCCCCCATTGGGCTCACCGGGGTCGTTCATGTAGAGCAGCTCCTCGGGCACCAGCCCCAGACTGGGGGGGCTCCTGCCCCTCCTCGGGGCCGCCCTGGGCGCGGCTGCAGCCGGGGGGGGCCCCCCCTTCATGGGCACGAACTCTGGAGCAGAGCACGGGGGGAGTCAGGGACCCTCCGTCTGCACCCGACACCCCCAGACCCCTCTGAGCCCCCCCAGGCCGAGACACCCCAGCAGCTCTGCTCCCCAACTCTCCCGACCCCCCAGTACCCCAGGTACCCCCCAGCCTCCCACGGCTGCTCCCGACACCCCAATACTGTCCCCAACAGTGTCCCCGACACCCCAATAGTGTCCCGGACACCCCAGCAGTGTCCCCCGACACCCCAATACTGTCCCAGACACCCCAATAGTGTCCCAGACACCCCAATAGTGTTCCCTGACACCCCAATAGTGTCCCCGACACCCCAATAGTGTCTCCCCCGACCCCAATAGTGTCCCGGACACCCCAGTAGTGTCCCCGACACCCCAGCAGTGTCCCCCGACACCCCAATAGTGTCCCCGACACCCCAATACTGTCCCCGACACCCCAATACTGTCCCCGACACCCCAATATTGTCCCCGACACCCCAATACTGTCCCGGACACCCCAGCAGTGTCCCCCAGCCCCCCGAGCCCCCAGCCCCGTGCCCACCCAGCTGGGAGCTGTACTCGGGCTCCAGGGGCCTCAGGCTGCCCTCGCTCCTCCGCACGAAGAACTGCGCCACCTCTGCCAGCGACGAGCAGCGGTGCTGGGGACACGCGGCCGTCACTCGGGGACCCCCCCGCGCCCCCCATCCCCTGCCCTGCGCCCCAGACCCGCGGCTGGGGGGTCCCACCCCCTTGGCTGCAGCCCTTTGGGGTATCCCAGTTCCCAGGGATCCCAAACCTGAGGGGCTCCCTGTCCCTTCTTTTGGGGGTCCCAAACTTGTCCTTCTTTTGGGGGTTGTCCCTTCTTTTGGGGGTTGCAGTTCCCGGGGATCCCAAACCTGAGGGGCTCCCTGTCCCTTCTCTTGGGGGTCTCAGTTCCTGGAGCCCCAGCCCTCGGGGGACCCCAGCCCCTCGATGCCACCCTCCGGTGATTCCCTGGGGGTGCCCAGCCCTGGGGTGGCACGGCCCACACGGTGCCAGTCCCTCGGGTGACCCCCAGGGTCCCACCCCGGCGGCTCAGGGGGGTGCCCGGGGTTGGGGTCCCTGTCCCCAGCGCCAGCCCCGCCCTGTCCCGTGTCACTCACCGGGGTCTCCAGGTCGATGAGGTAACCCTGGGGCTCTCTCTTCACCCTGTAGTGCTTCAGCACCGCTGTCCTGCGGGGGGGCGGCCTCAGGGGCTGGGCATCCCCTTTGTGGGGCACTCACAGCCCTCGGGACACCCCTCAAACGGGGACCTTCCCCTGGGGCCACCCCTCAAACGGGGACTTTCCCCTGCAGCCACCCCTCAAACGGGGACCCACCCAAGGGGACCCCGCTCACCCGGGGACCCCGCTCACCCTGGGACCCCGCACCCCATGGGGACCCTCACCCTGAGCCACCCCCGTCCCCCTTGGGGACCCCCCTCCCCCGGTGTCCCCAGCACGGACCCGTCCAGCTCCTGGCGCGTGGTGACCGAGACGCCCTGGCCGTGTCCCCCGGGCCGCAGCAGGAGATTCCCCCTGTCCGCGCTCCGCTCCAGCAGCAGCTCAGCCTCGGCTCGAGTCACCTGGAAAAAGCAGCTGGGGACCCTGGGGACCCCCCCGCTGTCACCCCCGACCCTGCCCTGGGGACCCCCCTCTGTCACCCCCGGCCCTTCCCGGCCACATTGGGCCACCCCCGGCTGGGCCATGCTGGTCCCCAGGGAGGATGGGGACCCCCCCCAGCCCCCAACACTCCCAACTCACGGCTCAGAGGGGCTGGGGGACACGAGGGTGACGGGGGACACGGGTGTGACCGGGGACACGGGCGTGGCCGGGGACACAGCGGTGGCCGGACACACGGGGGTGGTCGGTGACACGGGGGTGGCCGGTGACACGGGGGTGGCCGCGGTCACAGAGGTGTCCCTGCACTCCCGCTCCTCCCGCAGAGCCTGCAGCAGCTGGAAGGTGTGTCCGGGCAGCAGCGCCAGGTCCTGGGGCATCTTCATCTGCGGGGGACACGGGCTGGTGGCACTGAGGGGTCCCTGTCACCCCGGGACCCCCGGGCAGCCCCGTGCTCACCTTGGCCATGGTCAGGATGAATCCCCGCCACATCTCCTGCGTCTCCCAGCTCTCCATCTGCCGGGGGACACAGGGACATGAGGGTGGCCTGTCCCCTGTCCCTTGTGCCCCCCACAGGTCTCCACAGGTCCCTAAACCTGGCCCCAAATCCCAAAACCCGCCATCCTTGTGCATTCCCTGTACCCCCCACGTCCTTCCCCCTGTGCTCTCCAATCTCCACAATCCCAAAATCCTCTGTGTCCCTAAATCCTCCCCTTATGCTCCTCAGTGTCCCCCTGCAGTCCCTATCCCAAAACCCAGTCCCCTCATCCCCCCAATCCTGAAATCCTGTCCCTTCTGTACCCCCAGATCCCCCCCTCCAGGTACCCCCATTCCCCCATTGCCTCCCCGGCTGCCCCTCACCTTCATTGTCACCTCTTGTCCCCTCAGCCTGAGGTTGAGCACCCCATCCTCGGCCTGCACGGTCACCAGCTCGCCCAGGTCCAGCAGCTCCAGGGGCTGGGGGCACCCACGGGTGGGACCCCCGGCCCAGGGACGCCCCCACCCTCAGCAGGGTCCCCCCAGTGTCACCTGAAGGTCCCATCCTCGGGGGGCCCCTGCCCCGGGGGGTTTATGGGGACGGGTCCCCAATCCTGGGGGTTTCACCAAACAGTCTCAGCTTGGGGAGGGGGCACAGGGGTCCCACCCTGGGGGGATCCTGCCCCAGGGGCGTCTCCAGGGCCCGGGCAGGAGGGGGGGTCCCAATCTTGGGGGTCCCAGCCCCAGCAGATCCCAGAGGTCCCAGCCTGGGGGAGCCCCCCCAATCCCACCCAAAGGTTCTTGTCCTGGGGGTCCCACCCTGAGGGGTCCCTGCCCGAGGATCCCGCCCGGAAGAGCCCGGGTACCTCGTGGTCCTGGGGCCGCCTGTAGAAGGCGAGTTTGAGCCCCCGCAGCCCGGCCCAGACCCTCCGGTAGCCCTGAGGGGAGAGACGGGCTCAGCTCCGCACCGACACCGGCACCGGGAACCGGGAACCAGCACCGGGAACTGGGAAACGGCACCGGGAACCGGGAACCGGCACCGGGAACCGGGAACCAGCACCGGGAACTGGGAAACGGCACCGGGAACAGGGAAACGGCACCGGGAACAGGGAAACCGCACCGGGAACCGGGAACCGGCACTGGGAACTGGGAAACGGCACCGGGAACAGGGAAACAGCACCGGGAACAGGGAAACGGCACCGGGAACAGGGAAACGGCATCAGGAACAGGGAAACGCTACCGGGAACAGGGAAACGCCACCGGGAACAGGGAAACGGCACCAGTAACAGAGAAACACCACCAGGAACCGGGAAAAGGCATCAGGAACAGGGAAACGGCACCGGCAACAGGGAAACGGCACCGGGAGCCGGCACCAGCACCAGGAATCGGGAACCAGGCAGCGGGAACCGGGAACTGAGAAGCGGCACCCGGAGCCGGCAGCAGGAGCAGGGAACCGGCCCCGGGCTCGGCAGGGAACACGGCCGGTGGCCCCGGGCGGCTGAGGGGACACGGGGAGTCGGTCCCGGGGGGGGGGGGGCAGTGCCCGGGAGTGCCGGGAGCCGTCCCGGGGTCCCTGGGTACCCCCGAGGGTCGCTCTTGGCGCTCGGTCCCGGGGTATCCCGGGTGTCGGTGCTGGGGCGTGCCGGGATCGGTCCCGGGGTGCCGGGGTCGGTCCCGGCCGTGTCGCCCACCTGATCACCTGGCCCCCGCTTGTCCACGAAGCCCTCGTAGTAGTGCCGGGCCCGGGGCCGGGTCCCTCGGGACAGCGGCACCGGCCGCTCCATCCCCGCCACCCGCAGGAGCCGCCGCAGTTCCCGGTACCGGCCCCGCCCGGCCCGGGGCGAAGGGCGGCGGGCGGGAGTCCCGGCCGGGCCGGGGCATCCCCGGAGCGGGGCTGAGCCCCCGTGTCCCTCCCTTCGCACGCAGCAGGTGCGGGGCTGCGCCCCCCGACAGGCTCCCGTTCGCACTCCCGGTGCCGGTGCCCCTGTGCCCCTCCCGGGGGTCCCGGCCGGGCCGGGGGCTCCGTGACCGGCGCGGGGCTGAGCCCCCCCGTCCCCCGCCCGGTGCGGCAGGTGCGGGGCCGAACCCAGCAGGTTCCTGCCCGTCCCCCCGCCCGGTTCCGGTGCCGGTGTCCCCCGGTTCCCGTTCCCGGGGCCGGGGCGGCGGGCGGGGGTCCCGCCGGGAGGGGGGGTCCGTGTCTCAGTGCGGGGCTGAGTCTCCGCGTCCCCCCCGCCGGTGCTGCAGGTGCGGGGCTGTCCCCCCCCCGCCCCCGGTGCCGGTGTCCCCTCACCCCCCCGGGCGGGGCGGGGCGCCCGGGGCCGCCCCATCACGTGTCGCCGCCGCCGCCGCCGCGCGCACCGGGGGGAGGCGGGAGCGGCGGGAGCGGCGGGAGCGGAGCATGGCAGGTACCGGGGGGCGGGGGCGCACCGGGAACCGGGAACTGGGAACGGGGAATCGGACACGCACCGGGCACGCACCGGGCACCGGACACGTACGGAGCACGCGCACACCGGGCACGCAGCGGGCACCCGGCACCGGACACGCACCGGGAACCGGACACGCGCGCACGGACACGCGCCCCGGCCGGGGACACGCACCGGTCACCCGCCCCCCCCCACCGTACACCCGGGGCACGCGCGTGCACCTGCCCGAGCGCGCTCCCGCGGGACCTCGGTGGGGACATCCCGCCCCCACAGCCCTCAGGCCGCTCCTGTGCCCACCAGCCCCGGCCCCGTGCCCGCAGTCCTTCATTGCCACGCTCCTGTGCCCTCACCCCCCTGTCCCCACGTCAGTGTCCCCCTCTCCCATCCCCGAGTCCTCCGGTCCCTGTGTCCTGCCCCTCCACGTCCTTGTGTCCCCTCCGTGCTTGTGTCCCCGTGTCCCAATCCGCAGGCAGAAACCAAGGGGGGCACCCAAGGGAGCTCCCGGGGGTGCTGTCTCACGGTGTCCCCCCGCAGCGCTGGCGGCCGCCTCCCCCGGCGGGGACGAGTGTCTGGAGGAGGATGAGGATGAGCTGGAGCCGGGGCTGGACGAGGCCGAGGCCGAGCCGGAGGTGGCGAAGGCGGCGGGGGGCGGCCCGGGGGACGGTGCTGACCCGCAGGGGCATCACCCTGAGGGTCCTGCTCCGAGACGGGCTCCTGGAGCCGGGCAGAGGCGTCCTGTCCATCTACTACCTGGTGAGCCTGGGGACAAGGGGACAGGGGACAGGGATGGGGATGGGGAGAGGGATGGGGACGGGGAATAAGGAGGGGGACAAGAAACAGAGATGGGACAGGAGACAGAGATGTGGCAGGAGACGTGGGCAAGGGAAAAGGATGGGAAACGGAACACAGGCTGAGGACAGGGGATGTGGGATGAGGACAAGGGACAGTGACGGGGCTGAGGGAGAAGTGATGGGCACAAGGGGACGTGACTCCCGCCATTGTCCCCAGGGCAAGAAGTTTGTGGGGGACCTGGGCTCGGACGGGACGATCACCTGGCAGGAGACGGGGCAGGTCTTCAACTCACCCAGCGCCTGGGCCACGCACTGCAAGCGCCTGGTGAACCCCGCCAAGAAGTCGGGCTGCGGCTGGGCCTCCGTGCGCTACAAGGGCCAGAAGCTGGACCAGTACAAGGCGGCCTGGCTGCGCAAGCACCAGCCCAACGTGGCGCCCCCCGAGGAGGTGGGACCGGGCTCGCCTCCCCCTGGCACCCCCAGGCTGCGGGGCGAGCTGGGTGCCAGCCCCGTGTGCCCGCAGAGCTTGGCCAGCGAGGGCGAGGAGGAGGAGCTGCCCGAGGATGAGGAGGAGGAGGCGGCCAGGGAGGGTCGGGTGGCGGTGCCGGAGCCGGCGGCTCCCAAGAAGCCGGAGGAGAGGAGCAAGAAGCAGCAGGGCAAGGGCCTGGCGGAGCCGGCGGGGACGGGTGAGCTGCCGTGGGGGGGCCGGGGGTCCCGGGCAGCGCGGCCGCGGTGACGGGACCGTGTCCTTGGCAGACGGCGGCGGCGCAGGGAAAAGGCTGGAGGTGAAACCCCGGGTGCCCGTCCGCTACTGCACCCTGGGCACCCGCGACTCGGCCAGGTAGGGGACACCGAGGGGACCCCGGGGCGCGGCAGGGACAGTGGGGACAGCGGGGACAGCAGGGACAGCGGGGCCGTGGCTCTTCCAGGAACCCCCAGACCCTGGTGGAGGTGACGTCCTTTGCCGCCATCAACAAATTCCAGCCCTTCAACGTGGCCATCTCCAGCAACGTCCTCCTGCTCCTGGTGCGTCCCCTCCCCAGGCTGGGCCATCGCTGATGGCACTGGGGACACCTGCAGCCAGCGGGGTGTCCCTTGTGTCATTATTTTCGTGCTAAACCGCCGATTTTAACCTTTTCCTTTAGGATTTCCACAGCCACCTGACACGGAGCGAAGTGGTGGGGTACCTGGGGGGGCGCTGGGACACCAACACCCAGCGTAGGTGGCGTTTGGGGGGTGGGGGTGGCTCTGCCGTGGGCCGGGGCTGTCACCCAGCCCCGTGTCCCCGCAGTGCTGACCGTGCTTCGAGCCTTCCCCTGCCGGACCCGCCTGGGTGACGCCGAAGCCGCGGGCGCTGTGGAGGAGGAGGTGAGGGGCAGATCCAGCCCGGGGGGCGGGCGGGGGGCTCTGGAGGCTCCGGACCCACGGTTTGTGTTTCCCCCCCCAGATCTGCCAGAGCCTGTTCCTGCGGGGGCTGTCGCTGGTGGGGTGGTACCACAGCCACCCCTTCGGGCCCGCGCTGCCGTCGCTGCACGACATCGACGCGCAGATGGATTACCAGCTCAAGCTGCAGGGCAGCGGCAACGGCTTCCAGCCCTGCCTGGGGCTCATCTGCGGTACGTGAGCCCCCCGGGGCTGCCACGGGGCTGGGGCTGCTGCCACCCCCCTGTGCCAGCCCCCTCTGTCCCCATAGGGCCCTTCTACCACGGCAACCCCGGCGTGGAGTCCAAAATCGCGCCCTTCTGGGTGATGCCACCGCCAGAGGTAAAGTGGGGGAGAATTTGGGGTGGGGTCCCCCCACCCGGGGTGGTGTCAGGTGCCAGAGCTGTGGAGTGACCCCTGCCTGGCTCCCCCGTCCCCCAGCAACGGCCCAACGACTACGGGATCCCCATGGATGTGGAGGTCACCTACATCCAGGACGGATTCCTCACCAACGACGTCGTGCAGGAGATGGTGAGAGAGGGGTGGGGGCCCCCAAGGCCCCCCGAACCCACTGGGAGCAGGCTGGGACCCCACCACTTGTCCCCATCCTGCCCTTAGCCCTGGTGATGGTGGCAGTCCCTTCTCCAGCCCCCACCGAGGCCTCGGTGCCGCAGGTTTGGGGTCCCCCTGCCTGGCTTTGGGGCGCCCCCAGGGCTGCAGCCCCTCTGTCCCCCCCCAGACGCTGCTGGTGGAGTTCTATAAGGGAGCCCCCGACCTGGTGAAGTTCCAGGAGCTGTGGAGTCAGGATCAGACCTACCTGGACAAGCTGAAGGTGGGAAGGGCTGGCAGGGGATGGGGGCTTTGCTGGGGCACCAATTCCCTGTGCTGGAACAAAGTGGGGTTCCCCCCTCTCAGGGCTCCCTGGCCTCCCGCACCCCCAAAGACCAGAGCTTCAGTCACGTCCTGGAGCAGATCTTCAGCCTGCTGAAGCTCAGCGGGTGAGGGCCCGGGGCCCCTCGATCGGACCAGGCGCCTCCCGCAGCCCGGGCGGGGCTCGCAGCCCCGGGGCTCTCCCGGGCCCGGCGCGGGGCAGCTCCCGGAGCTCCCCGGAGCCCGCCGGGCCCGCCCTGCCCCGGGGGCGGCCGTGCCGGTGGGGACTCTGTGGGTCAGTGGTTTGTGGAAGTGGTAGTTTGATTAAAGAGCAGTTCCTGAGAGGTGGCTCCGGTGGCTGGGGACATCCTGCCATGGCCTGGACTAAGGGGATGTGCGAGGGAATTCCTCCCTGGGAGCGGGAGGGTGGGCAGGCCCTGGCACAGCTGCGCCTGCCCCTGGATCCCAAGGCCAGGTTGGATGGGGATTGGAGCAGCCTGGGGCAGTGGGAGGTGTCCCTGCCTATGACCTTCCAGGTGCCATCCAATCCCAGCCATTCCCTGACTCCACAAGGCAGCCCTTAGAAAGAAGAAAACATTTAATACTTTCATTCAGAGATACAAGTCAAGAATTGTGGGTCATCATTTCTTTCCCCTAAAAACCAGGAGAAACCATTAAAAAAAAAAAAACAAAAAACCAAAATAACCCAAAACAAACAAAACCCAAAAAAAAAGATCTAGCAAGGTGTCCCAGCTGAGAGAACGCATTTCAATCCACCTGAGCGGGAGCCAGTGTCCCCCACCGGGGAGGGGACAGAGGGAAGGGCCCCCAGGACTCCGGTCCCCTGGGCTCCCTGCCCTGCTGGGAGCAGGGGGGGCTGCCCTGTGCCCCCCCCCGGGGCCGGGGTCACTGCTGGGGGGGTCAGACACACGTGGACATGCACGGACCAAATCCTTACAGAGAACGGGAGCAGGAGCAGCAGGGACAGGGACAGGGACAGGGACAGGGACAGGGGTGCTGCAGCACAGCCCTGCACAGCTGGGGCTCACAGAGCAGCAGGGACAGGGACAGGGACAGGGACAGGGGTGCTGCAGCACAGCCCTGCACAGCTGGGGCTCACCCAGCAGGGCCCATCCCAGCCCCACGAGAGGCAGAACCCGCTTTTGCAGCGAGGGACACCACAGAGCCCAGCAAATGCTGCCCTGCAGCCCCACCCCAAGCCCGTGCCCACCTCCTGGCCAGGGAAAGAACAGCTGAGGGAGAAGGGCTGGCAGAAGAGCCACCGAGATGAACCATCCCTTCTCCCAGCAGTGCAGGGGCAGAGGGGGCCTGGGCCCCAGGGAGGGTGCCTGGGGCAGGCTGGGGGTGCAGGGAAGGCACCTGAGGGCCAGGTGAGCTCCAGCCACAGGAGGGATTCCCAGGAAGGGCAGAGGAGCTGTGACCTCTGCCCCACCACAGAGACAGCCTGGGCTATGGCCCAGCTCCTCCCCTTGCAGGTGATCCTCCAGGTGGGACTGACTTGGGAGAGTTTGGAGCAGGAAAAGCCTGAGGTCCAGGAAAAAACCACGGGCAGAAGGAGCAGCCCCCCGTCCTGGGGTTGAGCTCTGTGGGGAGGGGGCCAGGCGGGCAGGGGACATCCCTGCTGTCCCTCCAGGGTGGGCAGGGATGGCTCTGAGCGCCAGGGATGGCTCTGAGCCCCAGGCAGGGCTCAGCTCCTGCCCTGCAGGGCTGTGTTAGTGTTCTCTGGGTGTTTTAGTGTTGCTGTGCCCCAGCTCCCCTCCCCTGATCCCTCTGGGATCCCTCTGGGATCCATGGGGACAGGGGCAGCCTTGGCTGGGGCGGGAAGGTGGGGCTGGGGCTGCCCTGCCCTGGGGCCATCCCTGTGCCCAGGACACATCCTGGCTGTGCCACCCGTGCCCAGGACACATCCTGGCTGTGCCACCCGTCCTGGGACACATCCTGGCTGTGCCCCCTGTGCCCAGGACACATCCTGGCTGTGCCCCCTGAACCCAGGACATATCCTGGCTGTGCCACTGGGGTCACCCCTGTGCCTGGGACACATCCTGGCTGTGTCACCTGTGCCCAGGACACATCCTGGCTGTGCCACCCGTCCTGGGACACATCCTGGCTCTCCCACCTGCCTCATCCACGCGCTGGACCCACAGGAAAGACGGGAAGTGGGGAGGGACAGGGACAAGGACAGGGACAGGGCAGTGCCGGTGGCACGGCCGGGGCTGGGGGCGCACAAAGTACCGAAGTTCAAGCACCAGAAGGACAAAAAAAAGAAAAAAAAAAAAAGAAAAGAACCAAATTCACGTGGGGAAGGGGCCGTGGGACCCTTCTGGTTTGTTCCCTGGTAGCGCCTGGCCCCGAGGGGAGGCGGGGAGGGCGGGGCTGGAGCTGGAATGGAGCTCGGGACACTCGGGGCGGAGCGGCGCCGTTTCACTGAGGTAGCGGGACCAGCACTTCCACGTAGTTGAGCGGGAAGAAGCCGGACTGGCCGTGGATCATCCCCTCGTACCAGTTCTCGTCGATCTGGTTCGTCAGGGTGATGATGTCGCCCTCCTTGAAGCCCAGCTCGCCGTCGTTCTCGGGCTCGAAGTCGTAGAGGGCTTTGCAGCAGGGCTGGTCCAGGGGGGCTGCGGGGACAGTGGGGACACATCAGCGGGACCCCACAGTGCCCTGGCACCGGGCACTCCTGCCACAGGCTCTGCACCCTGCCAGGACCGGGGAGCTGGCGCCGCTGCCCCTCGCTGCTCCCTGCAGGTCCCGATTGCTGCTCCTGCCTGCTCCTCCTGCGTCCCAGCCTCAGAGGGGTCACAGACAAGCTGAGAACCTGCCCCGGAGCTCGGTGGTGGGGTTGGACATGGAGGGGGACTCTGGAGGGGTCACCCCACACCTGGGGCACAGGACAGCAGCTGCCTGCCTGGCCACGGGTCTCCAAATCCGTGAGCAGCCCCTCAAAACTCAGAAGAAGCCCAAAATCTCATTCCCCCAGCTCAGCTCCAGGATTTAAGCATCACCTTTTGGCTGCAAAGGGATTTTCTGTGGGATTTCCTGCTGCTCACTCCGTGCACTGACATTTTGGGACTCAGCCTTGGAGCTGGGAGGATCCCAGTGGGAAGGGACAGAGCTAAGAGAGACCTCCAGGGCCTGCAGGACCCCCCAGCCCTCCCCACTGTGCTGGGGCTGTCCCAGCCAGGGCAAGGGAATGGCAGCAAGGGCACATCCCTGCAAGTGTCCCAGGCCAGGCTGGACAGGGCTTGGGGCAGCCTGGGACAGTGGAAGGTGTCCCTGCCCATGGCAGGGGTGGAATGAGATGGTCTTGAAGGTCCCTCCCAACCCAAAGCATTCCATGATTCCAGGCCCCACAGCAAGGGAGGGCCCAGCATGGGAAGAGCACTCAGAAATCACCACAAGCAGCAGCCAGACATCAATGGGCTTGAGAGAACTCCCCAAACCACCAGGCTGGCCCCACCAGCACGGCCCTGCTCCAGGCTCCTTCCCAGCACAACAGCTCCAAGCCCCAGCCCCAGGATCCCAAGGTCCTGAAGGAAGAACCACAGACCCCACAATCACCCTACACCCCATAAACTCCATGAGCTGAGGCTCTGCCTCCTCCCTCCAGCCTTCCACAGGGACATGGGGAGCAGGAGGGGGAGAGATCCAGGCTGGGTGCTTGTAAGAACAGGGAAATCCTTGAGGTGTCTGATGTCTGGTGGGAAAACACCTGATCCCTGGGGATCAGGACATGCCTGGGTGCTGGGAGCTGCTGCAGCTCCTCCGGGCGAGCCAGGCCCCACTTTTGGGGGTGCAAAAAATCCCCCAAAAAATCCCACAGGAGCGTGGCTGGGTTAATTCAGGACTCAGCTCAGGCTCAGCACGGAGGGATGAGCAGCTCCAAGGAGCAGCAGCAGCAGGGAGGAGCAGGCAGGAGGGACACACAGGGAGCAGTGCAGAGGGAGGAAACTCACGGATACTCCTGACGGAGGCCCGGGACGGCTTGTCCGACCGGAAAGAGGCGGAAGCTGCTTCCAAACAAAAGAGAGACATGCTTAAACCAACGGGAGACAGGGGCAGGCAGGGCCCCCAGGGGTCTGTCAGCAGGAACAGCAGGGCCCCCATGCTGTTAGGAACCCGCCAGGATCAGGGAGGGAGGGAGGGATGCAGCGGGAGGGAAGACGAGGAGGGAGGGAGGAATGGAGGCTTCAGTTTTCCTGTCTGGCACTGACAGCGAGAGGCCCAGGCTGGAGACCCCTCTGGCACATCCCCAAAGCCAACACAGCAAAGGCTCCTGGGTCCCAGGAGAAAAGAGCCCAATCTAGAGGCATTCCTGATGTTTTCCAGAGCCACAGGCTCGTGCAGGAGCATCCAGCACAGCAGGGACATCCTGTGCAGGCAGAGCAGATGCCCTCCTTCCCTGGGAGGCTGCTCCAGAGGCAGCAGTGAGCACCTGGGGCAAGGTTACCTGAGGCTTTGGGGGTGGGGTTGCAGGAGAAGCCCCCGTTGGACTGGTCAGGCTCCCTGAAGTCGTAGGTCTCCCTGGGCTTGGGTTTGTATTCCCGCTTGGGACGTGAGGAGGCCTCCCTCATCCTGGGACAGGGAAAAGCAACGTGGCTCAGTGCAATGAGGAGTGCAACAGGAGGGGATCAACACCCTGCTTATCCTCCTGGGGGGCTGCACAGGGCAGGAAGGGGTTTGGAGACAGGGATGTGCACAAGTGCCTGTGCTGGAGCCTTTGCAAGGTGGGACTTCCCCAGGGTTTGGGATCTGCCCTTCGACAGGGCCCACACATCCCAGGTTTTGCTGTGGAGTGCTCAGGAATTCAGGCCAGCAGAGGACACTCGTGCTGTAGTTTGAAAGCTCAGACTTGGCAGGGTCCTCCCAGCTCCTCCCAATTAAGAGCAGGCACAGGATCCACTCTGCAGTTTCTCCCAGGAGGGAAGAGCAGCAGGGCAGCACTGCCAGATCCTCCCCAGAGTGGGGAGGCTGAGGAAGGAGAGGTGGGACGAGCCTTCTTCCTCAGGCAGGATTTGGGCTGGATCAGACACCCAACTAAATCCAAATCCCACCTGGAACAGCCAAAGGAATTGGCTTTACCAAGGCCAGGTTGGACAGGGCTCAGAGCAACCTGGGGTAGTGAAGGTGTCCCTGCTCTGTGAGCCCCAAGGTCCCTTCCCACCCCATCCCTTGTGGGACTCTGTGATTCCAAGGGGGACTCAGGGGTTTCCAGAGGAACCACAGGGACTCACCTGCGCTTGAGCTTCTCGGCCAGCTCGTCCAGGATCTGCACGGCCTGCCTGTGGTAATCCAGCTGGGCATCCACCAGGGCTGACAGCTGGCTCACCTGCTCGATCTGGGCAACACCAGGCTGGCATCAGCACCTGCTCACAGCTGCACACTCCTGCACAGCCCTGGGGCAGCCCTGGGCTGGGATTCAGCTGAGACTGCCAGGACAGAGCTCGTTCCTGCCACTCTGGGTTTGCCAGCTGGGAAATCCTTCCCAAACCCTTCCCAGCTGGGTTACCTCCCAGACTGATCCCCCACCACCCTGAGAGGAGCCTGTTTGGTGCCAGGCACGGGTTCTGCTCTGGCCAAGAGCTGGGTCAGGGGCTAAGCAAAGGGCTGTCATGTCAGATTTGGGCTTTCCCAGAGCAGAACCACACTTGGGAGGAGTGGGAACTGGTGTGTAATCAGTGCCTCCCTCAGGAGATGCCAGCCCAGGGACACAGAAGGCCCTAGCTCTGCCCTCCCACACTCACATCTGTCTCCAGGAGGTTGTGCATGCTGGTCTCTGCCACTTCCTTGGACTCCTCAAACTTCTCCATGGCCTGTCGCAGCTCCTCGTCGGGGATCTTGCCCTGCCGCTTCTTCTTGTAGTCGAAGTCCAGGCGCCTCCCTTCCAGCTTCTTGAGGTGGTGCTGGGGGAGGATGGAGAGAGAGGGAAGAGGGAGAAGCCAGAGGCTTGGGAGGGCAGCTCCAGTTACAGGCTGAGTTCACTGGTGTCAGAAACCTGATCTCCTGTGGCTCCCACCTTTGCTCCAGGTGGGAGAGAGGCCCCGGGGTGTGATGGAGGAACAATTCCAGACCCTTTCCACTGAGGAAAAGGCTGCAGAGCAGCCCAGGTCTGCTCCCCACAGAAGCTTTTTGGGAAGGTGAAGAGCTGTGCTGCTCCTTTCAGCTCCCCAGGAGCTGCAGGGATCTCCGGACAGCAGCAAGGTGGGTTCTGGGCACTGCACTCCTGGATCTTAGGGCAGGGATGTTTAAAGCAGCCCCATGGAACTGGGTACAGACAGGCACTGAGGTAACTTGGTGGTTATTTCATGCAGGACAGCAGTGACAGTGAAAACTCCCTCAGGAGACTGGCCCGGGGAACTGGAGGTTGGGATGGACCCTGTTACAGGGCCTGCACTTGTCTGAGCTGCTGAGCTCCCTGTTCTCCCAGTGAGACCCCAGAGAGCTCCTTGGGATGCTGAGTAGAGACCTGAGGGGAGCTTGCTCAGAGCTTGGAGCCCAAATTGATCCCATCTGGAAGCTCCCAGCACTGAGAACCCAATTGAGCAAGCCCAGAAGGGGTGTTGGGATGTATTCCCATGGCACCCTCCATCAAACACGGCAAATGGAGAACCATTCCAACCTGCATGCAGCCTTTTGGGCTGCTCAGGAGCAGCAGGAGCAGCGCTGAGCAGGGAGGAAATACCAGAGAGTCTGGAGGGATAAAACACACACAGAGTGCAGGCAATTCCTGCCAGCCCCTGGTTCTCAGCACTGCAGAGCAGGCCCCAACAGCCAAAGAGCCCAGAGAGCAGGGAGATGAGAGGAGAGCAAAGCACAGGGGCGTTTACCTGGATCTCTTTCAGGTCCTTGTCACACAGGTTCTGCAGGGGATCAATGAAGTTTTGTTTGACCTCGATGTCCAGCGAGTCCTTCACCTCCGCCAGGCGCTTCATGGATTCGCCGGCGTCGAGGAGCGCGTCCCCTGCAGGGACAGGGACAGGGAATCAAACACAGCCTGAGCCCAGGGACCTGCCTCACATCCCTCCCTTCTTCCTTCTCACCAGGAAGCCCTTGTGTGTCCCACAGTCCTGCAGTGGTGTGGGTTGGAAGGACCCTAAAGCCCATCCAGTGCCACCTTCCGCCATCCCAAGTTGCTCCAAGCTGGCCTTGGGCAGTCCCAGAGCTCAGGGTCACTCACTGAAACCTGCTCAGTTCCATCCTTTTCTAAGGCTCTGGCCACTCTGGCACTTAAGCCAGGCAGACTTGCAGCAAAGCATATTCAGAGCTGGCTTTTTAGTGCAGAGGAAACATTTAGAGATGAAATTATTCCTGTGCAGCTTTGGCAAAACAACAATTTCAGCAGAGCATGAACACAGGAAAATACATGAGTGAGAGAGAGGGTCAAGGGAAAACATCTCTCCACTGTCCAGCTGGAAAAATCAATAGACCAGAAGTGTTATTTCAATTGTAATAACTCTGAATAACCTGGAAGGGAGGGATGGAGTCCTCAATGCTGCTTTAAGGAGGCCATTAAGGAAATAGAGTTTGCTGTGCACTCCTAAAAGCTTCCTTCCCTTGCTCTCCTCAGTCCCTGTGAGCCAGGACTGATGCAGAGCTCTGAGCTGGCCAGGGAGGAGGATTTCCAAAATCCTCTGTCAGTTCCAAAAGCAGCCAGAGGTTTTTAATTTTCCTGAGGCAAGGCAGCTCCTCCCTGGCCTGGCAGGGGCCATCACGTGCCTGGCTGAGGTTCCAGGGGATTAAAACTGATGTCACCAAAAGGCTTCACCCCCTCCTCCCTGCCAGTCACACGTGGCTCCAAGGAAGAGCCAAGAAGATTTCTTGGCTTCAGCCTCCCCATGGAATCACAGCAAGGTTTGGGTTGGAAGGGATCCTTCAGAGCTGTGTGAAACTCCCAGTCTTGCTCTGTCCCGTTCCTGCTTCGCTGCTCAGTTTGGAGGGAAGTTTTTATTTTATGTGCAAATTTATCTCAGGGTTTAATAAGAAAGTGGATTGAGATCCAGCATACCTGGGATCACAGAATAACAGAATGGTTTGGGATGGAATGGAAGGAGCTTAAAGCCCATCCAGTCCCACCTTCCACTATCCCAGGCTGCTCCAGCCTGGCCTTGGACACTTCCAGGGATCCAGGGGCAGCTGCAGCTGCTCTGGGCACCCTGTGCCAGGGCCTGACCCTCCTCACAGGCAGGAATTTTTTCCAATATCCCATCTAAACCTCCTCTCTTTCCCTAGAAATCTGCTCACTCTGGAAGCTTCTGAACCCCTTTTAAGCCCCACACACTCTTCAGTTCCACAAAATTCCCCCCAACCCTTCCAGAATTCAGAGTGCCGGCTCAGAAGTGAAGCAGGAGCCTGCCCCACTCCCCTCCCCAGGCCCAGGGGGCACTCACCAAAGTTGGAATCCTCTCCCAGCTCCTTCCCATAGCGGATCATGCACTCCCCCAGCAGCCCCTCGGACTGGGGGTAGCCGGGGTTCTTCACCTGCCCGCGGATCTTGGACATCGTGTTGAGCATGGTGAGCTTGGCTCTGGAAGCTGCCACACACAAACACCTCAGCCTCTGCCCCCTCTGCATGCCCTGCAGCCCTCAGCAGGTTTGTTCCCCCCCCTTTCTACACCCAAAGCCAAGAGGCTCCATTGTCTCCATCCCCCAGGAATATCCCTCGGTTCTTTTCCAAGACACAAAGCAAAAATAGTTCCCCACTGCTTGGTCAGGGAAGGCCAAAGGAGTTTCCCCAGCCCTCCCAGGGTCCCTGGAGTGCTCTCTGGAGCAGCTGGCTGGAAGGATGCAGGCCTGACAGAGCCAGCCACCCCTTCCCAGCCCAGAAACACCACTTTTCCTGGACATTCTGAGAAAAACGGGTCCCCTTAGGGCCTCTCTGAGTCTGAGGCAAAAGCTGCACCTGGATTCAGGGCAAGAGGGGTAACCCAGATCTCCCCCTGCTCCGGACCTGGAGCAAAAGGGATCTCCCTGATCTCCCTGGGAAGGGGACAGGCCAGGTGCAGGCCCTCACCTGGGTTGGGCTGGAGGTACTCTATGGTTCTGGTCAGCACTTCTGTGACAGCCTTGCTGGTCACGTCCACTTTCTGCAGGAGAGACAGGAGCCCAGGGAGGATCAGCTCAGGGATTCAGCCAATCCCACAGGAGCCATGGGGTGATTTTGGGCATTCCTCTGGTTCCTCACTCACCTTTTCCATCTCCTTGAAGTCATCATCTAACTTGGTCCCTTCGGCCCCTCCGACCTTCTCGCTGACCAGCTGCGGAGAAAGGGAAGGGAGGAGGATCAGGCACTGATTGAACCTTCCCACCTCAAGGAGGAATTCCCAGAATGGGAACAGGGAGGGTCCACACAGCACCTGCAAGAGAAAGGAGGCAGCAGGAACACCCCAAGCCCCTCAAAAATACCCCACCAAACCCCCAAACGTCTCTGAGCACCCAAAGCTTGGCTCAGTCAGGATGTTCCTCACCCACCAGGAGCTCCACAGCTCCCAAAATCCCAGCCCACGGCTCCAACTCCAACGCCTGCTGGAAAAAACAAGCAGCACAAACGTCTCTCAGCTCCATTTGGAGCCAAGGACTCGGTTTCACACACAGCAAAATCCAAGTAAACAGGGAATGAACACACTCAGCTCCCAGCAGGCAGCACAGAGGAGCCTGGGGGGAGAGCACAGCCACCACTCTGGGACTGCTGGAGCAGCTGGGGATCTGGGACAAGGGGCTGGAATTCTTTGTCAGAGGAGATGTTTGACAAGCTGGGAAGTCAGGGCTCATTTCATGGGAAGGCTCAGCAGCCTCTTGAGGGGATCCCTCAGTCCAAGAGCAGCCCCAGCCCCAACCCACAGCATTCCCTGCCCAGGGCTGACCAATGCCCCCAGTAACCCCCCCCAGAGTGTCCTTCTGTCCATCCTCCTGCAGCCCAGGCAGGAAAATGGTCCCTTCCCAGCCCCTGCACTGCCTGGGGATGCAGGACACGGGAATTGGCCAAAACTGGAACCATGGAATGGCTGAGGTTGGAAAAGACCTCCAAGATCACGGAGTCTGACCATGTCCACCTGTAACCCATGTCCCCAGGTGCCACATCTGTGTGATTTTTGGGCACCTCCAGGGATGGGGACTCCAGCAGTGCTCTGGGCAGCTGTGCCAATGCCTGGCCACCCTTTCCATGAACAATTTTCCCCTGATTCCCAACCTAAACCTTCCCTGGTGCAATGTGAGGCTGTTTCCTCTTGTCCTGCTGTTCCCTGGGAGCAGAGCCCGACCCCCACCTGGCTCCACCCTCCTGTCAGGGAGCTGTGGGGAGCAATTAGAGATTATTTTGCTCCAAACAACAGCAAATTCCCCATCCAGACATCCAAAGTGGTCTGGGAAACCTGGCACTGGCTCCCAGGGCTCCAGGCCTGCCCCGGGGCATTGCCAGGATTCCTCCTGTTTGTGCTGAAAACTCCAGATCTGAAGGAACAATCGGGTTTGTTTACTCCAACATCAAATATTTGATTTTTATCGAGGCTTTCTTCCTCTGGAACACTCCTGCTCCCATGAGGATACAAAATGGGGCTGGATGTTTTCTGAGGAAGAAGGGGAGGGATCCCTTTAGGGAAGTATCCAGGTTCAGAAGCACCTGGAGACCCCAAACCAGCCACAGGGAAGGGAAGAAAGAGACAGGCAAGGAAAAAGAAAAAGGAAGGGAAGGAAATCCCTCTTGGTTCACCCAGCTCTGGATTTCACTCTCCTACTTTAACCCTCTGATAAGGGACAGAGGACACAGCCAGAGTGGACCAGGCTGGGCAATCTTTGCTCTGTGCTCCCCATTCCCTGCTCTCAATCCCTGCTCTCCATCCTTGCTCCCAATCCCTGCTCCCCAATCCCTGCTCCCATTCCCTGCTCCCCAATCCCTGCTCTCAATCCCTGCTCCCCAATCCCTGCTCTCAATCTCTGCTCTCAATCCCTGCTCTCAATCCCTGCTCCCCATTCCCTGCTCTCAATCCCTGCTCTCCATCCTTGCTCCCAATCCCTGCTCCCCAATCCCTGCTCTCAATCCCTGCTCCCCAATCCCTGCTCTCAATCCCTGCTCCCCATTCCCTGCTCTCAATCCCTGCTCTCAATCCCTGCTCTCCATCCTTGCTCCCAATCCCTGCTCCCCAATCCCTGCTCTCAATCCCTGCTCCCCAATCCCTGCTCCCCATTCCTTGCTCCCATTCCCTGCTCCCCATTCCCTGCTCTCAATCCCTGCTCCCCAATCCCTGCTCCCTGCCATGCCACGCCCAGCCCTCAGAAGCAGCTCCAGGGGATCCCATCACCCCAGGTGCCCCAGAACCCATCTGAGTGTGATTTCCTGCTTTCCTTGGCCGCCTGCTCCACACCCCAGCCCCGAGCTGGGCAGGCACGCTTCTCTCTCGAGCCTGGAAAACGGCCCAGGAGCAGCTGCCAGGCCTGCCAGGACAAGCTCAGCAGGGCACAGCAGCTCTGCCCCAGCTGCCACCCCTGTCCCCTGCCAAGAATCCCACAGCCAGGACGGGATCCCTTCCACCGAGGTGGCAGCCCTGGCAGCCTGCACTGCTCCCTAACACACCTGGGAAGGCTGCAGCCATCCCAAGCACTTCCAATCCCACTTTCCTCCCTGGATTTGTGGCCTGGGAAGCTGTAAATAACCCCTGGCAGGACTCTGCTCCGAGGGGCCTGCGTGCCAGGCTGGCAGAATCCATCACCACAGTGATTCTGGAGGCTCCACACCCTCTGGAGAGCCCAGAGAAGTGAAGGAAGCAAAACCCCCTCATTTCCAGACTAATTTAATCCTCCTTTTGACGTCCAAGAAATGCTGCTGCTGCCCTGCTGGGAGGGAATAATAAGATTGAGGTTCTCTCCCTGCTGGCTCTAATTAAACTGGGAGGCGTCAGCACGGGAGGAAAGGAGGAGGGACCCCCATCCCCACACCCCCAAACCCATCAGGAAGGGAGACAAAGCCACACAGATCCCCCAGACACGAGCCTGGAGGAGCTGCCACTGGTTCCTTGTTTGACCTGGAGCCTCAGCACACTCAGGGAGCTGAATTCCCAAAGTGCCCATTGTGAATGCCATGGTGCTGCCCCCAAAGGGCCTGGGAAGGATGGGAAGGGGGTGCCTGCCTTCCCCTGGGCAGCACTGCCCCCAAAGGGCCTGGAAGGATGGGAAGGGGGTGCCTGCCTTCCCCTGGGCTGCACTGACCTCTCCAGGATCCATGGAAGGAAGGAAGGAAGGGAGGAAGGAAGGAAGGAAGGGTTTATCCATCCACTGCTTGGCCTAAGGAAGGCAGCTGGAGGAATGCTGGTGCTGCAGATTCCAGCAGCCCCTTCCCCCAGGAAGCAGCTATGGGGCTTTTTGGAGGATGTGCTGGCAGTTTTTCTGCATTTTGATTTCCTGAGGAGCCAGGAGAAGGCTTGGGATACATCCCTGCTCCCCAGCTGGGATCTCACCTCTCCTGAAGCCAGACTGGGAAGGGATGAGGGCAGATATGGAAATGGTTAAAAACCAAACCAAACCAAACCAAACCAAACCAAACCAAACCAAACATTCCCCGGGAGTGGAAGAGCAGAACAAGTCTGGCCTCCCTGGTCTGTGGATAGGAAACATCCAAGGGGTTCACCCTGGGAGCACTGAGAGCCTGAGCTTTTGGCCAAACACCTCCCAGAGCAAATATTGGCCCAGGGCGCTGCAGCTGGCACTGGGCAGATACAATCTGCTCCCACTTGGCTGCTCCTGGCAGGTATTTCACCTGGAATTCCACCCACAGGTCCTGCAAGGGAGGTGAGGGCTGAGCTGAGGGCCAGGAGCTCTCAGCCCTCACTTCCAGCTGTGCTCCAGTAAAATGTCACAGCTCCAGTGGGCCCCAGACAGCTCCAGCCCGAGATGGGAGCACTGCCTCAGCCTGCTGGGGTGCAGGGAGCATTCCTGGGAGCTCAGCATCCAGCCAGGCTCATCCTCAGGAGAGCTCATCCACAGGGACTGGGCATGGCCCTTGTCCAGCCAAGGCTGCTCCAGCCTCGCCCCACAGCTTCATTTTGGAACTCAGGGGGGATTCCTGCAGATTCCTTGGCAGATTCCTTGGCAGATTCCTTGGCAGGGCTCATCCACAGGGACTGGACACAGCCCCTCTCCTCTCAAAGCTGCTCCAGCCTCGCTCCACAGCTTCATTCTGGAGCTCAGGGGGGATTCCTTGGTAGATTCCTTGGCAGATTCCTGCAGGTTCCTTGGCAGAGCTCATCTAGAGGGATTGGATACAGCCCCTCTCCACTCAAAGCTGCTCCAGCCTCACTCCACAGCTTCATTCTGGAGCTCAGGGGGGATTCCTGCAGATTCCTTCAGATTCCTTGGCAGATTCCTTGGCAGGGCCTATCCAGAGGGATTGGACACAGCCCCTCTCCACTCAAAGCTGCTCCAGCCTCACTCCACAGCTTTGTTTTGGAGCTCACAGGGGATTCCTGCAGATTCCTTGGCAGGGGCGTGGGAATGGGAACAATCCCGAGCTCCCCTTGTGGGGGAAGATCTCAGGAATGAAAGAACCATTGTTGGAAAGAGCCAGGGTGGCCAGGGGAGAGGCAGGAACGGTGTGTGTGCATGGAAAAGGGCAAGGAGGGATGCACAGGGATTCTCCTGGCAGCTGGGCTGGGGAAGGAACACGAGAATGCTGCTCCCAGCTCCCAGGCTGGCTGGGATGTGCCTGGGTAAATTCAGGAGCAGGGAGGATTAGGAGAGATTGTGGGAGCAGAGCTGGGCAGTCCCAGCTGGGGAATTCCTGCATCATTCCAGGTGGAGAGGTGGGAAAGATGTGGAGAATCAAAGGTGATTTTTGGGCTGCACCATCAGCAAAATCCCTGATAAACCTGGGAAGGTGCCAGCAGCCAAAGTTCCCCAGCTGAGGGCAGATTCCAGCACATCCACCCTGAAGGTCTCATCTGCCCAGCTCATGGATGAGGGAGCCCAAGTCTGTGTTATTCTCTGCTAATCACCAGCTCCCCCATGGGATTTCACAGATTTTGATATTTTGCTCTCCAGCCTTTAAATATTTTAAAACGGAAAATTATCCCTAATTCCCTCAGCCTCAAACAAGCAAAACACACCAAGAGAAACCCAAAAATCAGGGTTTTTTTTTCTTTTTAAACTCGCTTTCTTTTTTCCATCGCAGTCAGCCCTATTTATAACACATCAAACATTTGCCATCCTTGCAATCAAAACAGTTCCCTACAGTCGACTGAAAACCTTATTCCTGCAGACTCTGGGGTAT